CGTTGATACAAGGCAGGATGGATCCATGCTTCCATCTGAATGTGGTTTTTCCAATCTTCTATTGTCCAGTTTTGGTGAGAAAACCCGTGTGAATTGTAGCCTCAGTTTCCTGTTGTTAGCTGACAGGAGTGGCACCTGGTGTGGTCTTCTGCTGCTGTAGCCCATCTGCTTCAAGGTTGGACAAGGTGTTGTTGCTTCAGAGATGCTCTTCTGCAGACTTGACCATGTCTACATGACTAAATGTTAATGAGTTGCTGTCATGTGATTGGCTGATTAGCTATTGTACAGTTGAAGAAGTGTACCTAATAAAGTGGCTGGCAAGTGTATACATGCATGAATTAATCTGGTTCTTGTGTTTGCCTTCTTTTCCTGCATCTCAACAGATGTTATTCAGTTCTCTGTGTTGGTGCACGCAGGTGTGCACGTCACTGGTTGCATGTTCTTGTTGCAGCGACTGATACCTGTACTGTGTGTGTGTTTAGCCACCTGTGACCCGACTGGCAGAGTGTTTGTTTAGCCTTGTTTTCCCTGTGTGAGGAGCAGTGTAGCGGCTCCTGGCAGGCCGGCCGACACTCAGCTACATTATTTATGAGAGGCAGTCTCATATCACAGCAGAACCGCAATGCTGCATTTACTGCACTGTCGGTTTATTTACCCAGATCCTCTGCTATTTCTCTCCGTCTTTCACTCTGTCAGTCTCTCCCTCTGTCTTTTCTCTCACCGCCTCTCCCTGAAGATAACAGAGGATCTAATAAATGGGAACCTCTGCCTTCGAGGGAGAAGTCAGCTGTGGCGATTAGACTTCACTTTCTTACCTTCATCATCTACAGTTAATGTCCTGTGTTACTTTTTTCATCCCATAATTAATTCATCTGGACTGGCACAAAGGCAGCAAATGAAATGCCCTCAGTGTGATCTCTCACTTTAGGGCAGCTGCAGCGGTGGCTGACTACAGAAAAAAGAGCAAACGTTTCACAGATTTCACTGAGTAAAGGTACTCAGCCAACCTCAGAGGGAGAGCGTGACATTTCACAAATGTACTTAGTTCATTTTCTTCACTACTCAGTTGTTACATTACCGGGACCTTGCTCTGGATTTGTCCTTAAGGTATCTTAAAAATGTCATCGCTGAAACCAACCGCTGTAAGCGAGTGAGCCACAATGCAAACTATGTTAATGATCCGAGTGTCAGCAGAGGAGCTCTTTGACTGGAACAGGAAGAAAGATGTTCAAAATGTCAGAGTTTGTCTTTAACAACATCTGATGTGTCTTCTGTTAAACTTTATCAGTGGCGGATCCTCCTACAGGCGACACAGGCAGCCGCCACCCAGCGGGGGGGCACCAAAGGTTTATTTTTTTAATTTTTTTATTTTTTCACATTAAAAAAAAAAAAAAATCAAACTAAAGGGAGTTCAAGTGGAGAGCATATGGGTAACAAAAAAAATGAAAAAGCAAAAGCCATCCAGGGAGCAGCACAAAAAATAAGAAAAAATAAAATGAAATGAAATAAAATAAAACAAACAAAACAAAACAAAACAAAATAGGATAAAATAAAATAGAATAAAACAAAATAAAATAAGATAGAATAAAATAAAATAGAATAAAACAAAATAAAATAAGATAGAATAAAATAGAATAAAACAAAATAAAATAAAATAGAATAGAATAAAACAAAATAAAATAATATAAGATAAAATAAAATAAAATAAAAATAGAATAAAACAAAACAAAACAAAATAGAATAAAACAAAATAAAATCAGATAAATAAATAAAATTAGCTAAGATGTTCATAAGATTTTCTTTTATTGTTTGTTTTTTATTATAAGAAATTATTTTTATTTAATAATGATTTTGTTAAGTCATTTATTTATGTTGATTGTAGTAATAATAATGATAAAAATAAATTGTTTGCATTTGGCAGGACAGAGCAACTAAATATTAAATTAAAACAAAAAAAACTTTTTCAGCAGATAAAATTGCTAAAATGTCGAAATTAAAAACAAGGGACAGAAGAGGTTGTTTGTTTTTCAATTCATATGGATATAGTTCAATTTTGTTTTTTCAAAAATATCTTTAAATGTGCTTCAGAAAACATTTACGTTTTATCGTGCTCAAAGGGACAGTTCACCCCCAAGTTAAAGTACATATTTTCCCTCCCACCTGTGGTGTTATTCATCAATCTAGATCGGTGTTTTGTTTCACTGAGCGTTGGAGATATCAGCTGTAGAGATGTAGACCACTTGGCAAGTGGTGCTCAAAGTGCCAAAAATGGAAAAACTCAGCAGCAGTGTCTGTTTCAGAAATCATGGCCTGGATACTCAAGATAATCCTCAGACCCTGTTGTGAGCAGTTTCATAGTAACTGTTTTGCTTCTACTCAACGACACCTGCCAACTCATCACCGCTCAAAAGGACGCGTACATTTACTCATGGACGAGACATTCGTGCGTGTGCAATGAGTGTTTCTAGCCACAGAAGGTGATATTACTCTACTTTAAACCTCCAGTTTTAGCTGCTGAAA